CATGTACAAGGTTTTGGTGAATGTAGCCTTTCAGTTATTTTGGGTATGTATCTAGGAGTGGAATTGCTGGTTCACATATGTTTAGCCATTTGAGGATTTTGCAGACTGTTTTTCAAAGTGGCTTCTCCACTTTTTATTTCTACCAACAATGTATGAGAATTGCAATTTGTCCACTTTTTTGCCAATACTCAATATTTTCTATTTTTTAAATTATGGTCATCCTACTGGGTATTAACTGGTTTCTCATTATGGCTTTGACTGGCGTTTCTCTGATGACTAATGATGTTGTGATTATAGTCCAGCTTCACTATTTTTTAAAGAATTTAACCTTTATTTATCTTTATGTGGTGCTAAGGATTGATCTCAGTGCTTCTGGGTTCAGTCACTCTACCACTGAGCTACAACCCCATCCCCCAGCTTCACTTTTTAGCTATGTGACTTTGGTCAAGTTCTTTATCCTTTGAGTCTCATCTATCTGTAAAATGGAGATATAGTGGTCTCCACCCCCTTATCCATGGTTTTACTTTGCATGGTTTCAGGTACCTGTGGTCAGCTGTGTCCCAAAAATATTAAATAGAAAACTCCATAAATGAACAATTCATAAGTCTTAAATTGCACACAGTTCTTTTTTAAATTTTTTTTTAGTTGTAGATGGATGCAAAACATTTATTTATTTATTTATTTTTTAGTTGTAGTTGGACACACAGTACCTTTATTTTATTTTTCTGTGGTGCTGAGGATCAAACCCAGTGCCCTGCATGCGCTAGGTGAGCACTCTACTGCTGAGCCACAACCCCAGACCCAAAACCTTTATTTTTTTATGCTGTGTTGAAGATCAAACTCAGTGCCTCACACATGCTAGGCAAACACTCTACCACTGAGCTAAACCCCCAGCCCAGTTGCACACAATTCTGAGTAGTGTAATGAAACTTTGTGCCATTCTTCCAGTGTATCTATGCTATATAATTACATGTTGATTAGTCATTTAGTAATCATCTTGATGATAAGATTGACTATTAGAGTATCTCAGAGCTTGTGTGCAAGTAACCCTTACTTTACTTACTAATGACCCCAAAGCACAAAAGTAGTGGTGCTGGCAATTCACATATGACAAAGAGAAGCAGTAAAGTACTTCCCTTAATGAAGAAAGAAAAAAATCATTCTGAAGTTGCTAAGATCTATAGTAAAAATGAACCTTTTATCCATGGAATTGTAAAGAAGGAAAAAGAAATTGAAGCTAGTTTGGCTGTTATACCTTAACCTGCAGGAGTTATAGTCAAAATATTTAAACGTTAAGTTGGAAAAGGCATTAAATTTGTGTGTATGTCTAAGATAAAAACATGGTATATAAAGGGCTTAGTACCATCAACCATTTCAGGCATCTACTCAGGGGTCTTGGAATATATCCTGGTGGCTGAGGGAAGACCACTTCAATATTGCCTCACAATATTATTGTGAGGTTAGTGGAAATTAGGTGGATTTAGATCAGTGCCTGCTACATTGTAGATACCTAACTGATAACTAATATTGGTACTTGAGATGAGGTAGCCAGCAATTCAGTCAGATTTTTCCCAGTGACTTCAGGACATCTACTGTAGAAGTCAAATGCTTAAATAAATGATGGTGCCTCACATTTGCTAGGGCTGCTTTCTGTTTTACAACCTTGGTAGGCCTTTGTTTACTATTATTTACTAGTTAGCACTGTCATTAGGACCATGGAGGGATATACACAAAAGTAAGATAGAATTTATGAGATTAAAACTTGGAGATGATGGTACTGTCAAATTAATTCTGTGACAGTGACATCTGTCTCAGTGCAGTAAAATGAAGGTGAGAAACATTATCCAAGCATAAGAGAATATCTTGGGTATTTTTATCCAGGAATAATATGGGCCTATGGAAAGTATTCAGTACACTGGGCAAGAAAGGCAGTAAGGCATTCTAGGTAAGTAAACCCAAGTGAGCAAAGATGGAAGTAGGAGTAATTTAGAAAACAGGTGGTTATGAAATTAACCTGGTAGGAGTGAGATATTGGGGAATTGCAAGACAGTTTTGTGATATTCTTATTCTGTTGTGTTTTATTATTCTATCCCAGAATGTGTAGTGAAAGAGGTTCTATACCTAGAACCTTGAGATTTTCTTTAAAATTTTGCTGCAGATTAGCTCTAGACATTCTGTTTATTCTTTTTTAAAATATTTTGTTAGTGGTCAATGGATCTTTATTTACATGCAGTGATGAGAATCAAACCCTGTGCCTCACACATGCTAGGCAAACACTCTACCACTGAGCCATGATCCTCGCCCCTCTTATTCTAAGTAATAAATGAATAATTGGCTTTGTTTAGTGATTCTTAATTGAGGGTGTGCATCAGAACCTTTTGGAAACCATTTTGAAATGTGTGTTTGGATCACATTCAGGAAATTGTTTCAGCAGATCTGAGGTCAGGTCCAGGTTAGTATATTTGGAAAAGCTCTTCTGGTTATTGTGATTTACATTCCTTGTAGCTTAGGAACCACCAGATTAATTTAAAATCATTAATCCTTAGCTTTCTGGAGTTGAAATCACTTGGGTAGAACTGGGTGCAGTGGCATATGCCTGAAATTCCAGTGACTCAGGAGGCTAAGGCAGGTGGATCTCAAGTTCAAGGCCAGTCTTAGCAAAGCCCTGTCTCAAAAAAGTAAGAAGGGCTGTGGAAGTAGCTCAGTGGTAAAATATCCGTAAGTTCAATCACCAGTAGAAAAAAGAAGAAATTACTTGGATTGTAGAATAATCAGTGTCAGACCAGTGAAAGATTAGATGTTGTAGTGAACAGAACATGGATTTTTTTAAAAAATATTTTTAGTTGTCAGTGAACCTTTATTTTAAATATTTATATGTGGTTCTAAGAATTGAACCCAGTGCCTTACATGTACTAGGCAAGTACTCTACTACTAAGCTACAACCCCAGCCCCAGAACATGGATTTTAATGTTAATCTGACACAAATCACTGCTTCCTAGCTCTGAGCATGGCACCTAACCTCTCTCAGCCTCAGTTTCCTCATCTGTAAAATATGGTTTATGATGCTTATGTGATCCTGTTAGGATGAAAGAACATATCACACTACACTTTGCCTGATGTTTATGTGACTGATAAACTTCAAGAAACTATCACCAGGGGACAACATAAAACTACTTGTATCCTAACACATCTTGGAGTTAATCATAAATCTAGGTATACCCAAATACCTAGGTGGTTCCTTTGTCTAAATATAAAATAACGTAGACCTTGCTTCACTTATCTGCTTATCAGTGTACCTCCCTTTATGTGACCTAATATGTAGCATTATTGTCAACACTGACTAAACTCTTTTTCCATAGCAAAAATTTAAAGCATTGAAACTTCTGTTGGACTCCAGAAAATTATAAACCCTTTACAACTTAAATGAAAAACAGGTAAATTGAGTTTAACAAAATTATCAAGGTCCATAGGGTCTTGAGCTGACATCTAGGATTTTCTCATTATAATTGTGTTACCTTGGAGATAATAAGTTAAAATAGGGGTGGGGGCTAATAGTAGTTATACTAATAGTAATTATGGCCTCATAAGGTTATTGTGAATATTTAACAAGTTAATGCATGTTAAGTATTTGTAACATTGCTTCATACATATTCAGTATCTGTTAGTCATTAGCATTAGTGTTATCATGCACTAGGGCTTATGTGGGAGCCAGAAATATAAAGTCTCTGTAGAAGCCAATATATAGGTAACATTAATATGCTTCAAGTGTAGCAGTAGAGGTGCATACAGGAGGGGTATGTAACAGTCTGTCACTTTTCCATGAAAAATAGTTCTCTCAAGCTAGGCATGGTGGTGGCACATGCCTGTAATCCCAGGAACTTGGGAGGCTGAGGCAGGAGGATCATGAGTTCAAAGCCAGCCTCAGCAGAAATGAGGCACTAAGCAACTCAGTGACACCCTGTCTCTAAATAAAATACAAAATAGGGCTGGGGATGTGGCTCAGTGGTCAAGTGACCCTGAGTTTAAGCCCTGGTACTCAAAAAAAAAAAAAATAGTTCTCTCAGCTGGTGGTGGTGGTGCACACCTGTAATCCCAGCAACTGGGGAGGTTGAATCAGAAAGATCAAATGATTGAGGCTAACTTCAGCAATTTAGCAAGGCCTGAAGCAACTTAATAAGTCTAAACTGTCTAAAATTAAAAAAAAAAAGGCTGGGAGCTTAGCTGGTGGTTAAGCACCCCTGGGTTCAACCTCTAGTACCAAACCAAACCAAAAATGCTCTCCACAAAGGTGCTGGTACAGTGGAAAATGTATGTGTACTGGAGTCAGATCAGTCTGTGTTTTAATTCTGTTTACCACTCATTATGCCACTCTGGGGACAGCCAACCTCTTAACAGCCTTTGTTTCCCCATTTCTAAAATGGGGTGAAGTTTCTGACGTCTTTGTGTTGGAAGTGCCTTAGGTGTGTGCTTTTGCAGTATAAACTGCTTCTAAGATAAAAAGCATGAATTTTACAAAAGAAATGAATGTCAGTTTCTGTTTCTACATTCATTCTGAGGTTTTCATCCAAACGTACCTTGTCATGGCTGATCTGATGATAATGTAGGTAGAATATGCATAGTACATAGTAGATTGTGAGCAATAATTAATGGTTTTATTATTTTTCTAACAAAGATCTTCTCTGTCATTGTTTGAAAGTTATGCAATATATACCATGTTAATTTTAGCCTTCTGATTTTGAAGAGTCTTAGGCCAACTTTCATAAAAGAAGTAAAAACATACTGGGAATTTTGAGTGAACACATGTACAATTCTGTCTTTGTTTATAGAAATAATCAAGTTTTAGGCTGAGAGAACACTCTGGTTTTGTTTTTGCTCTTTTTAAATATATTCTGCGCAACCACATGTAATCTTAAATTTCATCAAATTATAAAATTTTCCTGACTTAACAGTGCAGACCAGTTTTTGTAGCATATGAAATGTTTTTTTTTTCTCTCTCCTAGGTCTTTCAGAGCCTTGAAGATCACCATTTGGAAGTGGTGGCTTTTTTCAGGGAAAATGGCTTTCATGGCCTTCTTGCCCATGACTCCGAGTATGCACTCTACAATATTCCCTCTTACTACAGTTCCCATGCTCTGAAACTGAGCTGGAATGGGAAGAACCTTACTACTAATCAGTTTCTGATGCAGGAGGTGGCCAAGCAGCTGGGCCTCAAGCGGATGAATTTTCCCATATTTGCTGCACTGCTAGGTATGTGGTCCAAAAGAAAAAGTCCAAGTAAATTTTCCTCTTCCATTATTAAGGATTAAAAACTTGAGTGATTTAGCCTATCATCATTGGGTTCATCTTTTTAAAAATTCTCATGCCAAACACCATGATGCAGAAAACACAGTGGATGCTTGGACTTCTTTGTGGGACACCCTAAAACTCAGAATGGTTGACTCATGGATTGTTATAGGATATTCCAAAACATTATTTGTATTCTTGTAAAACTTATTATTTTTTACATTTTATAACATTTATGCAGAGTACTGTCTTAGGCTAAATATTTCATTTGTCCTAGTTATTTTGGTTCCTCACTCAGATAATTAGCATTTCTTTCCCAGTGTCTAAATTTAGATCAGGAACACAAATTGTTGATTATATTTTTCTTTTTCTCTTCATTTCTTTTGTACTAATATTTTATTATGAAAATTTCCATAATACAGCAAAACTGAAAGAATTTTGCAATGAAAACACTATATCCACCACCTATATTCTACCATTAACATTTTACAATACTTGCTTTATCATATGTTTTATCCATTCCTCTAACCCTCTATTATACTGTCTTTTAAGGATGTATTTAAAGTAAATTCTGGAGAGTGGATTATGTTTTGAATTGGTTTTCCAAGTAATTACAACATGAAGGTTAATGTATTTATGTTAGATGTGATCACTGCTCTGTAATTCCAAAGGATATGAGTTTGAGTAACCTAAGAGTATCAGCACAAGTTTTGGAATTGGGCCTCATGCAAATCACTGAAGTCACACTTTGCCCATTTCAATTTTCTCATCTGTGAAATGGGAATAATAATACCTCATAGTATTATTGATGAGGTTAAATGAAACGAGATATAAAATGCTCAGCACTTATTGGAAAGTAATTAATTTGTTGCTGCTATTATAAAAGCCAGCATAACTACAATAACTACAATAGCATGAGCTTGGAATTATATAGACTTAGCTTTTCATCCTGGTATGTACATACCTAAGGCCAAGTCACCAAAATTGTCTGAACCTCAGTTTCCTTATCTGTAAATGGAAATAATACTATCATGCATTGATATTATAAAAATGATACATATAATACACATGATATGTAGTAGGTAATCAACACATCACTACTATAATTATTATATTAAGAATATCGATCTATGTTAATTATTTGGTCATTTTCTCTCCCAGGATCTTTTTCATGGCCTGGGGGTTCCAGGAAACATTGGTATAGTCAATAAATGACAAATGTACTTTATAGGTAACCACATTCTCCCAGATGAGGACTTGGCTGCTTTTCACTGGAGCCTCTTGGGACCAGAACATCCTCTTGCATCCCTTAAGGTAATGTGTCCCATTTCCTGCATGTACACATTAGAGGGTAATCAAGTTTTAGAATTTGATGGAATAATTATCTTTCATTAGATTCAAAACACTTCAGATACAGATAAAATTAGTTGTAATAATATCCGTATAAGAGTCCATACATATCTATAAAGAAAAATACTATTATCCCACTAGTAAAATAATGAACAAAGAACTGATACAGACAATTCACCAAAGAGGAAATATAGTGGCCAATAATACTATGACTAGATGTTCAACATCTCTAGTGACCAGGCATGTGAATTAAATGAGCAGTATGATATTTTTTGTTAACAGTCAAGCAAATATTGAAAAATTAGTCTACTGCTATCAAGGCTGTGCTGAGACTGATGCCCACCTTCACTTCTGGTGGTAGTGTAAGATGGTGATTGTATTGTATTTCTCTCATTCTCTCACTTTCCTAGATGACTGTTTCATATTATCTCTTTCTTCCAGCCTAAATACTTCTTTATTTGCTCATTCTCAGTACATAACCCCCCTTCCTTTTCACTGAGAAAATGGAAGCAACGGGAAGAGAACTTTCATAAGCTCCCAAACCCTCCTTACCTCACCAGCATATATCTGTGTGCCCATGTGCTCCTGTTAACTGTGGATGACCTGTCCATTCTCCTATCAAAAGCCAACCCCTCCACTCACATTAGATTCTATCCCCTCTTGCCAATTTAAGGGCATTTGTATAGCAATTCTTCTCCTTCTTCACATCATCTATTTTTCTCTCTTCATTGTTTTTTTTTTCCCCACCAAATGTATAAACACACATCCATCTTAAAAGATAAAACAAGTCGGGCATGGTGGTGCATGCCAGCGGCTTAGGAGGCTGAGGCAAGAGGATCATAAGTTCAAAGACAGACTCAGAAATTTAGTGAGGGAGGCCCTAAGCAACTTAGTGAGACCTTGCAAAATAAAAAAAAAACGGCTGGGGTATATATAGTGGTAAAGCACCTCTGAGTTCGATCCCTGGTACCAAAAAATAAAAGTAAAAATCCAGTGACCCCCCAAAAATAAAAATAAAAACCCACTAACACCCAACTGCTACATATTTCTTCTCATATCAAAGTCTTCTAAAGAGTTGTCTATTATTAAGCTGCTTACTATCCTCCTCTCCTGTTCTCTCTTCAATCTGATTTGCTGAATTTGCCCTTGACCTTGTCAGTAACCTCCAAGTTAATAGACCCAGTGACCAGTTATCTGTTTTCATGTTCCTTGACCAATTGGCAGCATTTGACATGGTTGCTCATTCTTCATTTGTCTTTCAGGAAACCACTCTCTTCAGATTTCCTCCTGTCTCACTGATTGCTACATCTCGGTGTCCTCTGTTATTCTCTTATCTTAAAAATGTGAAGTGTCCCAGAGTTCTATCCTGGTTTTCTTCTCTTCTATCTACACACATGATTTCATCCAGTCTCATGACTTTATGACCTTCTACCCATTGATGGCTCTCAAGATTATGCCTCCAGCTCTAACCTCTTTCTCAAATTCCAAATTCTAATATCCATCTACTAAACATCTTCATTTACATATATAAATGGGCATCTTTTTTTCCCAGTTTTTTAGGGATTGAATCAAGGGGTGCTCGACTACTGAGCTACACTCCTGGCCTTTTCTGTTTTTTTTTTTTTTTTTTTTTTTTTTTTGAGACAGTTCAAGGCAAAATAGGCCTTGAAATTTAATCTTCCTGCCTCAATCTCTGAGTCTCTGAGATCACAGACATGCACCACCATTATTTCTTGCCTGGATTATTGCAATAGCTTACTAATGGATGGTTCTGTGCCTATAATGTCTTCCCACCCCAGTCTGTTTTCAGTGTATCAATAGATGTCACTCACCCAATCGTTACCACATTCTATAAACCCCTATACTGTCTGGCCCCCTGTTATACCTCTGATCTCATGTTAGAACCTCTGCACTTGATATTTCTTCTACTTGGAATGCCTTTTACTCTCACATAGCCATTTCCTCACTTCTAGAATTTTCTCAATAAGACCTTTCCTGATCACTCTTAAATTTTATGCACATACCCATTTAAAATTTTATGTGTACACACACATATTTGCACCTGCACACATACATGTACTTGAATTCCATGTTCCTTCTCTACTTATGTTTTTTTTCCTAGCTTTTATCTACCTCTAGCACACTATATAGTTTACTTATTTATTAATTTTGACTCCCCTCACCACATACCAACACACAACTAGAATTTAAGCTCCCACATGGGCAGGAATTTGTGTTTCTTATTCACTGCCATGTCCTTGGTACTTAAAGCAGTACTAGCACATAGTGTGCAGTAAATATTTTTTAAAGGAAAAAATGGAACATCATTTTGTCAAAACAGTTTTTATCAAAGCATTTAAGAACATTATACTCTAATTCAGTAATTACCATTTGAATAAGCTTATAATTAATTGGAAAGTGGGCAGTAAGTCATACCTACATTTCATCATAGCATCAAAATTTTTCTTTAAAACATTTTCAAGTATCAAGCTTATTTCAAGTGACACATGCCTATAATCCTAGTTACTCAAGAGGCTGAGACAGGAATATTGCAAGTTCAAGGCCAGCATATGCAATTTAGTGAGGACCTGTCTCAAAATGAAATTTTATAAAGGGCTAGAGAGGCTGGGCTTGGTGGCACACACCTGTAATCCCAACAACTGGGTAAGCTGAGTCAGGAGAATCACAAGTTTGAAGCCAGCCTCAGAAACTTAGCAAGGCCCTAAACAACTTATTAAGACCCTGTCTCAAAATTTTAAAAAAATAGGGACTGGGGTTGTGGCTCAGTGGTAGAGCACTTGTGCTGCACATGTGAGGCACTGGGTTTGGTTCTCAGCACCACGTAAAATAAATAAGTAAAACAAAGGTATTATGTCCATGTTCAGCTAAAAAAAATTAAAAACAGGACAGGCATGGTGGCACACACTTGTAATCCCAGCGGCTCAGGAGGTTGAGGCAGGAGGATCTCGAGTTCAAAGCCAGCCCCAGCAAAAGTGAGGCACTAAGCAACTCAGACCCTGTCTCTAAATAAAATACTAAATACGGCTGGGGATGTGGCACAGTGGTTAAGTGACCCTGAGTTCAATCCCTAGTACCAAAAATCATAAAATAAAAATAAAAAAGGTCTGGGGATGTGGCTCAATGGTTAAATGCCCTTGTGTTCAATCCTTGGCACCAAAAAATTAAAAGAGAGCTGGGGATGTAGCTTAGAGGTAGAGCACTTACCTATCATGTGTGAAACCCCATATTCCATCCCCAGTACTGAAAAAATTAGGTAAATAAGATTTTGCTAACATTGCTGGGGTTTGTTGTTGATATATATATTATATATGTGTGTGTGTGTGTGTGTGTGTATAGTGTATTTTAAAGCAAAATACCATAATTCATGTTATTTCAACCCCACATTCTTTGGTATATATATCACTAAAGAACTTGAGCATTTTCTTACACAAGCACACTGCCATAATCACTAACAGACAATGCTAATCTCTTGGTATAATCTAACATCTAGTCCATTTTCAGGTTTTACTGATTATCTCAAAAGGGCATTTTTGTGATTAATTCAAATCAGGATCCAAAGATGGTCCACACATTGTAACATTTCTTTTAATAACAAAAAGTTGGAAACAGGGCTGGGGCTGTAGCTCAATGGTAGAGCGCTTGCCTTGCATGAGTGAGGCACTGGGTTCGATCCTCAACACCACATAAAAATAAATAAAGATATTTTGTAAAAAGTTGGAAGCAGATAAAACATCTCATGAAAGAGAACTAGCTGATTATGGCAGTATCATCAGACAATTGTTATTTATGTAGTAGGATTAAAAATGGTATGTTTTTATGTCTTTAGATTTTTCCAATCTTTTCCAGGTCCTTTGTACTGAGAATAAGGGGAGAAAAAACTATTTTAAATATAGTTTAACTATCTCAGTGATTTATTGAATTCCATATCTCATCCCCACCTAACTTTTTTCTAAATGATCCATCTTTTCCTAAAAAAAAAAAAAATCTATGGCATTTGCGATTGAACTCAGGGAAAATCTACCACTGAGTTACATCCTTAGCCCTTTTAAAATTGTGAGACATGGACTTGATAAATTGCTGAAGCTGCTCTCAAACTTACAATCCTCCTTCCTCAGCCTCCCAAGTACCTGGGATTACAGGGTTGAATTACTACGTCCTGTTTAGTGATCCATCTTGACATTAGTAACCATACTTTATCTTGCCTTTTCTAGGTTCGAGCTCATCAACTGGTTCTTCCACCCTGTGATGTGGTGATCAAGGCTGTTTCTGAGTATGTTAGTTCTATCAAAGACCCTTCAAACCTGGATGTGGTTGGGAAGGATGTTTTCAAACAATCTCAGGTGAGCTAGCCTTTTCTTTCCTAAGAATTGACAGTTGTCTTACCTTCTCCAGCAATACCAGCAAGTCTCCTGTTGTCTTCAATGACATATAACTTCTCTTTGCTTGTCTCCTCCGATCTTATAGATTAAAGCCCCCAAATTTCATTTCCTTTAAAATATTATTAGGCTTGGATTGAAAGGTTTTCTTTTAACTGATGATTAAAGTAAAATAATCCCTCTAGAAAATACAATACATAAGGGAAAAAATTAACTTAAAATACCATTACCAGTTTCTAGGTAATGATATTTTAAGTGAATTGTTTAAATTAATCTGACATATATCTCCTTCTAATCAATTTTTTCCAGTACGGAGGATCAAACCTAGGGCCTCCTATATGCTAGGCAAATTATCTACCACAGACCTACATCCCCAGCCACTTTTTTAAGCTAATATTTGCTTCCGTTTTATTTATTTATATATGACAGTGGAATGCATTACAATTCTTATTACACATATAGAGCACAATTTTTCATATCTGTGGTTGTATACAAAGTATATTCACACCAATTCGTGTCTTCACGTGTACTTTGGATAATAATGATCATCACATTCCACCATCATTTCTAACCCCATGCCCCATCCCTTCCCCTCCAACCCCTCTGCCCTATCTAGAGTTTGTCTATTCCTCCCATGGAACCACCATTTGAACCAGCTATCCCTCTCCTCGTTCTATACCCAAAGGACTTAAAAACAGCATACTACAGGGACACAGCCACATCAATTTTTATAGCAGTACGATTCACAATAGCTAAACTGTGGAACCAACCTAAATGGCCTTCAGTAGATGAATGGATTAAAAAATGTGGCATATATACACAATGGAATATTACTCAGCAATAAAAGAGAATAAAATAATGGCATTTGCAGGTAAATGGATGGAGTTAGAGAAGATAATGCTAAGTGAAGTTACCCAGCCATTTTTTAAGAGAGAGAGAGAGGGGGAGGGGGAGAGGGAGAGGGAGGGAGAGAGAGAATTTTTTTTAATATTTATTTTTCAGTTTTCGGTGGATACAACATCTTTATTTTATGTGGTGCTGAGGATTGAACCCAGCATCCCACGCATGCCAGGCGAGCGCATTACCGCTTGAACCACATCCCCAGCCCAACCCAGCCATTTTTGATGTATATTTTAACATAAAGGAGGTCTTACTTAGTGGAGGATTAAATGGGTAATGAAAAAGACACTTAAAATGAGTGCACTAAATCATGAATCAAAATTTCATGGTCATTTATGGGAGAAAGGACTCAATTGGGATTTTTTTTTTTTTTTTTTTTTTTTTTGGTACTGGGGAATTGAACTCGGGGACACTTAACCGCTGAGCCACATCTGCAGCCCTGTTTTGTAATTGATTTAGAGACAGGGACTCACTGAGTTGCTCAGCACCTCGTTTTTGCTGAGGCTGGCTTTGAACTCAAGATCCTCCTGCCTCAGCTGCCTGAGTTGCTGGGATTCCAGGTGTGTGCCATTGTGTCAGGCTTCAAGTGGAATTTTATCCTAACAAAATTAAACTAAAAATTATGAAAATATGTTGGTTTTATTTTTAGCAAATTGATTATCTTTTTGTAAGAACACTCAAGCCTATTGCAAACCCCTGGCACCATCAGTTATTCTCTGTCACTGAAGTTTTGTATTCTGGAAATGTCATATGAATGGAATCAGTCATACAGTAGATAATCTTTTGAGATTTCTTTTATTTAATATAAAATTCATTCAATATAATGCTGAGTTGTTGCATGTTACACATGTAAATAATTTGTTCCTTTTTATTGTTGAATAATATTTGTTGTATGGATATACCACAGGTTTTTTTATTCATTCACCCCTAAAGGTTATTTAGGTTATTGTTTTGTTTTTTTTTTGAGGGGGGGCTGGAGATTGAACCCAGGGACTTGTGCATGCTAGGCAAGTACTCTACCAACTGAGCTATATCCCCAGCCCCTATTTAGGTTGATTATAATTTTGGTGATTATGAATACAAAAGCTATAAATACTTGTATACAGGTTTTTGTGTGGACATTAGTACATATCTGGGAGTGGAATTTTTGTGTCATATGGTAAGCATATGTTTAAATTTGTAAAGACCTTGCTAAACCAGTCACTATTACTTTTTACCAGTGCTTGATCAGTAATTTTTAAAATGCATTTTTTTTTTCTTGATACCAAGGAGTGAACTCAGGAGTGTTTAACCACTGGGCTACCACCCTAGCCCTTTTTTTATTTTTTATTTTTTTATTTTTGAGACAGGGTCTTGCTTAGTTAGGGCCTTGTTAAGTTGCTGTGGCTCACTTTGAATTTGTGATCCTCCTGCCTAAGCCCCTGAGTTATAGGTGTATGCCACCACACCTCTCTTATTTACTTATTATTATTTTGGTACTTGGGATTGAACACAGGTATGTTTAACCACTTAGCCACATCCCTAGTCCTTTTTATTTTTATCTTGATATAAGGTGTAAATTGTTTAGATCTTGCTGAGTAATTGAGGCTGACTTTTCAAGTCACTGTAATTACAGGTGTGTGCCACCATGCCCCGTCAGTGAATTAATTTTTTTTTATTATTTGCATTTCTTAATCTTTATTTTATTTCTTTTCATGTGGTGTTGAGGATCAAACCCAGTGCCTCACATGTGCCAGGCAAGTACTTTACTACTGATCCGCACCCACAGCCCATTTAACTTATTTAACTTATTTTTATTTTAATCTTACCAAAAAAGAATTCAGGGCCTCAAACATGCTGGGCACTGAGCCACAAACATTTTACCACTGAGCCACACTTCTACCCCTCATTACAGCTTTAATTTCCTATTCCCAAATACTAATGATAAAAATGTTTTTTTCTGATTTATTTGCCTGTATCTTCTTTGGTGAATGGTCTGTTGAAAAATAGTCTTTCAACATTTTTGAAATTTTTTGAAATTTTTTTTTTAGTTGTCAAAGGATCTTTATTTTATTTATTTATATGTGGTTCTGAGTATTGAACCCACTGCCTCATACATGCTAGGCAAGCACTTACCACTGAGCCACAACCCCAGCCCTCTTTTGCCCATTTTTAAAGTTCATTTGTTTGCTAAATGTTGAGCTTTGAGAATTCCTTATATATTCTGCATCTGAGTTCTTTGTCATGTATCTGGTTTACAAGTATTTTCTTCCAGGTTGTTTTTTAATTATTTCATTAGCATCTTTTATAGAATAAAATTTTTAATTTCCATCAGTTTTTATCATTAATGGATCATGCTTTTGGTATCTTGTCTAAGAAGAACTCATTGCCTAATTGCATGCATGATAATTTTCTCTTTTTGAAGTTAAATAGTTATGCATTTTACATTTAGAACAAATCATCAACTTATACTTCATTTCTTTATAATATGTTAGGAGATTTTGTTCGTTTTCTCGTTTTGTTTTTGCATAGGGATACCTAGCTGTTTCCACACAGCTTGTTTAAAAGACCATCTTTTCTCTGTTGAATTGCCTTTGCAGTTTTGTCAAAAATCATTTGGTTAAATTGCATGGGTCTATTTCTGGATTCTCTTATGTTCAGTTGATCTATGTGTCTGTCCTTTTCCAGTAGTTGTAGATGGGCACAATACCTTTATTTTTATTTTTATGTGGTGCTGAGGATCAAACCCAGTGCCTTCCACATACGAGATGAGCACTCTACCACTTATCTACAACTCCACCTAAGTTTTAGAATAGTTTTATTTATTTATAACTATAGGGAAAAAAACCTTGTGGGATTTTGGTTGGAACTGTGTTAAATATATAGATGGCTTTGGTTAGTCTTTGAATTCATGAATATGATATGCCTCTATTATTTGGTCATGTTTATTTTCTTTCATCAACTGCATGTTTTAGAGTTTTTAGCATGTCCTGCACATGGTTTTTAGTATTTATTTTTTTTATTTTTTTATTTTTTGGTTTTTAGTATTTATACTTATTTCCTATTTGTGGCATGTATTGTCATGAATGTTATTTTGTTCCATTTTTAATTGTTCAATGATGATATAAAGGAATGATTTAGTTTTGTTTATTGACCTTATAAATTGTGACCTTTGTAAACTCTCTTATTCTGGAAGTTTTTTTGACAGACTTCTTGGGATTTTCTGTGTAGTTGTTCATGTTGACTATGAACACAGACAGTTTTATTTATTTATTTTTCATCCTACATTCCTTTATTTATGTTCACTTACTGTATTATTTAAGATTTCCAAATGATGCTGAATAGAAATGTTGCAAGTAGATATCCTTTTCTTGTTCCTGATCTTTAGAGAAAGCAGTCAGTAGTCATTGAATGTGACATTAGTTGTAGGTTTTATAGATGCATGTTTTCAGGTTAAGGAAGTTGTCTTCTATTCTTGGTTTGCAGAATGTATAGTGTATTTTTCCAAATGCAATTTATCTATTCAATGATAAAATCATATTGTTTTCTTCCTTAGTCCATTAATATTTTGGATTGATTATTGAATATTGAGCAAACATGGTCCTGATATATTATTCTCCCACCCCACTCACCCCCTTTTTTTTTGTATAGCTGGATTTGAATTTGGTATTTTGTTGAGTATTTTTTTTTAATTTTTTTTTTTTAGTAGTTGGATACAATACCTTTATTTATTTTTATGTGGTGCTGAGGATGGAACCCAGGGCCTCGCATTTGCGAAGCGAGTGCTCTACCACTCAGCCCCTTATTGAGTATTTTTAAATTTTGTTTATTTTGAAAGAGTTTTGGTCTGTAGTTTTGTTTTTAATATTTGTTATTTAGTTATAGGTGGACACAATACCTTTATTTTATTTTTATATGGTGCTGAGGATCTAACCCAGTGCCTCACGCATCCTAGGTGAGCATTCTACCACTGAGCCACAACCCCAGCCCTGGTCTGTAATTTTTTGTTTGTTTGGTTTTTGTTTTATTTTTGTGCTGTGTTGGTCTGGTTTTGTTATCAGGGTAGTGTTGGAGTCAGGAGTTTA